GGGGATCGAACTCATGCGGGAAGTGGCTAGAGCTTCTTAGTGCTGTGCTTTAACCCGCTGTGCCACCAAGGAGGGCCCTCCTCACAAATTTAAAGCTAGAAATTCTATTTAATCCAATTAACCCACTTCTGGGTATTTACCCTGCAAAAAAAGCAAAGATACCAGTTCAAAAAGATATAAGATTCTCATGCTTAGAGCAATAATTTTCACAATAAGTTGTGAATAACAGCCAAAGTGCCTGTTGACACCTGGTTGGATACAAAAAGATGTGGTATAGATACACAAAGGAATGCTACTCAGCTATAAAAAAGGTGAAATTCTGTCATTTTCAACAATATGAGTGGACCTAGATATTAGTAAAACAAGCAGGTGGAGAAAGAAAAATGCCATATGACTCCATTCATTCATGGTACATAACCCCCCAAAAATGAACAAAATAAAACAAAATGAAAATTTTAGACTATAAAAATATATATATACAGCCTCTGGTGATGGAACATATTTCATTTCTCTGCACACAAATGAAACCTTGCCATAGTTCTCAAGAATAGTGCATTGCAGTTGATGTTAAACTATTCATCTTTGTGAGTTTGTAACTGCTCTGGAGAACGTGTGGCCAGAAGAACAGAGCAGCAGAACGAGGAAGGAAAAAGACTTGCTTTTCTGATAGTAAGAAGCTTTTTTTGCATAGGAAGCCTCTTGTAGGATGCCTCAGCTTTGTTCATGTAGCATCTTCATCAGTGACCTTGATGGGCCCACCCACTATGTCACGGAGAACAAGCTGGGAAGGACAGTGGGTGTGTTGGAAGCATACTAAAGTATACACCAATGCTATGATGCTATGACATACGGCAAGGATAGAGGCTGGGTCTGGGGAATACATTATATATGCAAAAACTTGTCAATGGGGAGGTTCTCAACTTTTGATGCATATCAGAATCACCTGTGGAGTTTTGCTTATTTGCTTTTAAATAGAGTTGTCAAGGCTGGGTGAGACCCTCTCAAGTAGACTCTGGTGTGGTTCTTGGCAGGTGCCCCATGCTAACAAATGTTGAGAACTCCTGGGTTAGCTGGGGTAGGTGTGAGAAAAGGCAGGGATTTTTATTTGGCCGTGAGCTGAGGCTACCGTGTTGCAGTGCTCAGTATGGAGGATCTGAAGAGCATTTTGTTCCAGGACGACCCTCCTCAAATTTAAACTGCATGGGCAAGGATTTCTGACTGTTACCTGTGATTTTTCAAGTACACATTCCAAACCAGGGGATTGGTATTGGAATAGACACTCAATGAATCATTGCATGAACTGGGTTTCGGGGATTTTTCTCCAAACAGGGGAGAGAAAAGAGCATGTCTCAATGTAAGTGCCAGATCTCAAGACTGTAAATTGCAAGTTTATGATATGTTTATAATATAATATGACATATAAGTTTATAACATGGAGAGGTGAAATTGTTTTGATTAAAGGAGAGCTGGGAAGGAGAATAATAACTACTCTTGATACTTACCTGAAAGGGGAATTAAATTTATTTATTCCAGTTGCCTACCGAAGGGATACCCACTTGGAGGAGTTACATTTCAGTTTTCTACAGTTGGAAGAATTTTCTGTAATGTGCACAGTTGTCTCAGCATAGAAGGGATTGTTTTGTCCATCAGGGAGGTCAGCTGTCCCTCTGTCACAGGGACCCTCTTACACAGTGGAGGCTGTGGGACGAGGTCAGCCAGAAGAGCCAGATCTAGAAGCATCTGTGATGTTGGCCAGCTAATTTTTCTTTCTTGTATTTTTCCATTCAGAAATTGATAGTCCCACCAATGTGATCACTGAACGAGTGACAGAAGATACGGCTGTGGTCTCCTGGGACCCAGTCCATGCAGCCATCGATAAGTATGTGGTGCGCTACACCGCCCCTGACGGAGAGACCAAGGACAAGGCGGTGCCCAGGGGCCAGAGTAGCACCGTCCTGACAGGGCTGAAGCCGGGAGAGACCTACAAAGTCCATGTGTGGGCGGAGAGAGGCAACCAGGAGAGCAGGAAGGCCAATGCCAAAGCCCTGACAGGTAACGGAAGGTCAGGAATGCAAACAGGTTCCCATGGCAGGGAGGAGGTTGCTTTGCCAATCAGAAATCCTTTGCCCACCTTTCCTCAGCACTTTTATTTGCAAGAATGGAGGATGCAGTCGCAAAAACAATTTAAAATTCTGTAATTATTTATTTGTTCCATTTTAACCTCGAACAATAGAGAGCATTTTCTTCAATATGGAGGGTCATACTTATTTGGGCTGGAATTCCATTTGCAACTTCCTCAGAGTAGAGCAACACTTTCTAATTTTCATTTTTTTGGATGTGAAAACTCAAAACATTTGGCTGACAGTGAATTTGAAAGCTTATCTCAGTTTGCAAGTGACTCTACTGGCACTTTGCATATAATCTGGAGCTCCCTTTCAGACCAAGGAAATGGCTTGCATCCTGAGACAACATTTGCCAAATGCACCAATTCTGCCTTTAAGCCCTCAGAAACTGTAAGGGTCCCCAAACTTCATGCAGCTGTTCCTCTCTACTCGAGCCTGCAGGTGTTATGACAAACATGGGCTCACATCTCTCACACATTTTCTACATAAACCCACCTCTGGGGCTGTCCCTGAATTCAGGAAGTCTGATCCTGGACCATGTAAGGTGACACTTGATAGAAAATCATAGAAAGGATTCACTTATGGTTGTGCTCGATAGCCACTTAGTGTAGAGACTCCTGGAGAAGTAGATAATTAATTTGGAGTGTGGTTTTGGGGGCTTGACTCTGCAGGTTTTAATCCCAGTCCTGCCTCCCATGAGCTGAATGGCTTTAGGTGAGTAACTTCACTTATGTCCCTCAGATTCTTATCTGTAAAATGGAGCATATGAGTGTTAATGTGAGTTAGTTTGCATAAGTGCCTGACACATAGTGAGTGCGACATAAGTATTAATGCAGTTATTTCTTAGATAGTGTCTTAGTCTGCTTAGGCAACTATAAACAGCTGAAATTTAATTCTCACAGTCTGGAGACTAGAGAATCCCAAGATCTGGTGCTGGTTGATGTGAGTCCTGGAGAGAACCTTCCTGGTTCTTCCTGGTTTGCAGGTGGCTACCTTCCTTAGACTGACATGGCAGAGAGAGGAAACTGGGCTCATACGATTATACTCATGCAACCATGATGCCTCCACTGCCCTGTAGACCTCACTTAAACCTAATTACCTCCCAAAGGTCCCAGCTGCAAATACCATCAAACTGGGAGGGGAGAGCTTCAGCACATGAATTTGATTGGGAGCGCATTCAGTCCATAACAGTTGCTCATCAAGAATTGGCCCTGAAGCACTTTATGGCACATAACCTCTTGGGCCCAGTGGGGCCTAAACTCTTCCATGACAAAGAGAAGATGTTGGTATTAAGAATGATGAGGTCAAGATTTGTTTAAGTCAAGGTTAGTGAATTTTCTGTAACAGGCCAGACAGGACATCCCTTTGATTTGCCGCGACTCCCCTCTGCCTTTGAAATGAGGTAACAGTCACAGACAGTACATCTAAATGAACTGGCATGACCATGTCCCAGCAAAATTTTCTTGATGGAAATGGGCAGTGGATCAGATTTGGCCCCTGAACAGTAGATTGCCACCTCCTGGTTCATATGACAACTGCCTTTCTGTTAACTAGGATTTTGTGCAAAGAGAGACCACGTGGGTCAATCTTTTTAAGATAGTGAAGGTGGGAGTGTGTGATTAGCATTCTAGTTTATATGGAGCCTCTAGGGTGTGTGTGTGTGCACGCACACGTATGCGTGTGTGTGGTGCTCTCTCTTGTGTCTGAGGTATACAGACACAAGCTACATTCATGCCTGTATGGTGTTCACAGTCTTTTGGGTAGAGAATCAAGTGAGAAAGATAAAGTACATGGGGTTATATTCTAGAGCTCACAAATGTCCTCTGGGGGAATCTGCAAAAGGTACTGACCATGGACTGAGATGGGGCGGGGGTCAGGGCAGACTGTCCAGGGTGGTCATACCTGAGCAAAGGTGGGAAGCATGGGCGGGGGTTTGCAAGGACAGCAGCACATGCAACGGTATAAAGTGTGGGGATGGGACAGGTCAACTTCCTGGCCTGTCTTACATGAAACCACCTTAATAATGTGACCTGAAGCAGTGTTTGTAGTGCACAGATCTGGGGGTCGGTGGGGGGGCGGAGGTTGGGATCATTAAAGACAGATCAGAGTTTCAGGACTTAAGTCTTTTGTTCTATTCTGGCAATTGTCTGTGGCACATTCTGAACTCTGCTCTTATGACAAGAGACCTCCTGTGGCTGTGTGTCCACAGACTGGCCTGGCTTCCTGCAAGTGATGGTTGTGGGCTTGAAAGGCACCTCCTCTCCCTGACTGCTCAGTCTTTCAAGATGATGCTTTTGAAACAGGATGATAAAGGCATGCTAATCATATACTCAATTACTTGGATTTTTGACTCTCTGAGGGTTTAGGAGGGAAAGTGGTATTTCGTATCCCAAATGACACCATGCATTTCATTTGCAATATCTTGTTTTCTGCTTACCATACCTAGGAGGAAGGTGCTGATATATCCTTCTTTGCAGAGATGTTCTCAACTCTAAAATTACTCATTTTGTTTAAAATTAGCAACCAGGAAATGATGGGATCCAGATTTTAACTCATTTTAACTGGCTAGGAATCCAGACAGTTTCTCCAACATGGATTATTTTTTTGTCAACCCAGATCTCAAATACCATCAATTTAAAGTCTCTTGGTCTTCTGGCCAAGGCATACCATTTTATATGGGAAGAATAGACAGCTTTTATTTCCAGAAACTTTTTCTTTCCAAAAAACATATAAGAGCTGATGTAGAGATTTTATTGAAATGCAATTACGTTCAGGTACAGGAATCAGGAACTGAAAAAGTATTATTGTATAAATCCAGGGTAAAGGAGAAATTGCCTATAAAGACCCATTCTTTTTTATCCAAAGGGAACTTTTGAGAAAAGTTTTCAGAGTTGAGACTTTATGTTGGCTTTGCCTGAAAACCTGCCTTTCTCATTAAATATTATTGGCTTATTCTTGGGATTTCAGACCACTTGCTACATTAGACCTTAAGTTATTCTGGTTGTTGGCATATAACAGACTGAAATTTGTTGAAGTCATCACTCTGTGTGTGCTGGCTGTCCAGGCACCAGAGAGCTGGCAAATGCTACCCTTTTTCATCTCTCTTAAAGAAATTGACAGCCCTATGAACCTGGTGACTGAGCGGGTGACAGAGAACACAGCCACTGTGTCCTGGGACCCGGTGCAGGCCGCCATTGACAGGTACATGGTGCGCTACACCTCTGCGGATGGAGACACCAGGGAGGTGCCCGTGGGGAAGGAGCAGACCAGCACCGTCCTGACGGCCCTGAGGCCGGGTGTGGAGTACAAGGTCCACGTGTGGGCCGAGAAGGGGGACCGGGAGAGCAAGAAGGCCAATACCAAGGCCCCCACAGGTAAAAAGAGAGATGGTTCATTCGAACTGAATTTTGAGTGTGTGGAATTGAGTATGCCTGATACCAAAAGATGTGGCTTGATTAAGACTTTTTGCAATTTGAAGTCTTAACGATCATAGAATTGCTGTAATCTCCATCTCTATAAACGACTCCCCGATGGCGATGAGCATCTCATGAAACCACTGCTAGATGGGAGAAGGAAAGTCACACAAGAACATATTTTTAGCGGACTTAGCAAAGACATTTATAGGTTCTGGTCATTGCAATATTTGTAATCGCCCATGAAGAAGCCCTTGAAAAAGTGGTAAATTATGTATTCAGTTGTATGGCAGATGTTTAATTGATTGTTTTGATGTGCCATCATGTTGCTAAGAAGACATCACTTTTCCCACATTTTAAGAAGCTCAAAGCTGAGATTATAATGAATAGTGCTTCGCAAGTGAGAACCAGGGGTTACTTATTCCCTCAGATCATTCCAGAGACTCATGCCCTGTACTGGGAGCTCTGGAATTTGACAGTTTTACTGTTGGGATCCTGGTCGCTTCTATGACTTCGAAACTTAGGCTTTCCCAATCACTTTCTTAAAGACATTGACAGCCCCCAAAACCTGGTGACCAATCGGGTGACAGAGAACACGGCCACTGTCTCCTGGGACCCGGTGCAGGCCGCCATTGACAGGTACATGGTGCGCTACACCTCTGCGGATGGAGACACCAGGGAGGTGCCCGTGGGGAAGGAGCAGACCAGCACCGTCCTGACGGGCCTGAGGCCGGGTGTGGAGTACAAGGTCCACGTGTGGGCCGAGAAGGGGGACCGGGAGAGCAAGAAGGCCAATACCAAGGCCCCCACAGGTAAGAAGCATACATTGTCACTGTGACCCTGCTAACTTCATTCTGCCTAGTGTGATTTTTCTTCTCTGATATTGGTAGAAAGGAGGTTTAATGGAAAAGCAAGTTGATATCGTTGTATCCTTCATGTAGTGGCTTCTCTTAAAATGAATAGTTTGTCTGTGGTCTCCAGATTTTGATCCTTAAAATAGGTATTATCGCTCATCATCTTTTGTTCTAAATGCTGCGCCTTGTAAATATGAAGAACACACATGGCTGTCGTGCTGAGGAAGTCTTACTTGGAGGGTGGAGGCCGGAACCAACATTTCCCCGCTTCTCACCTGTTTAAACGCCTTCTGTGGAACTTGTTTTGGTTCCTGTCCTGTGAGTGAGCTGTTTTATCAGCAAAAATAAACAGATGGCTAGTCACTTTTAGTCTCCCCGAATGTGTCGTCTGTGTAATTAAAATGTCCATGTCCAGGTAACAGTGCATCCTTTAAAGCTTCTCCTCCCCATCAGTTTGGATATCAGTGAGCCAGCTACCTGCCCTAGGAAGGGGCTGCTGGTTTTCTCTTGCATTTTCCTTCTTATACCCCAAGCACTGTCCTTCCTGTAGTTTCTGACCATTTATGCTTGGCACAGCTGGGAGGATTCACGTAAAGGGGTGGGGGACTAGCGGGTAAGAGATCTGCAGGGGCGGAGAAACTCTTGCTTGACTAACAATCGTGGCTGGCTTTGGCCTGTTGTGGGCCTGCCAACTTAAAGCTGACATTTTCTTTCTTGGACGTGCTTGTGGGTTCTTCAGAGACCTCGTCTGTCTTTTTCCACTAGTGCCCCCCTACCAACTGTGGCAAACCTGTGGGGAAATTGGTCTCCTACTGGTCTCCTAGTCTCCACCTTCTGCCCTTCCGCTTGTGGATTCACGCCAGTGTTTTGTGGGCTGTAGGATGTTTACCAGTAACCCTGGCCTCTCCCTAGGTGCCAGTGGGCTACTGGCCTCTAGCCACAATGAATTGTGACAGAAATATTTCCAGTTCGTGGTAGTTGTCCCGGCTCTAGAACCACTGTTATCCTGGTCCCCCACCTCAGGAATGTACAATGATCCCTAGAAGGGATCCCATTGAAACTGCGTACTTGAGGTTTGGATCCTCCCTGTGGGACTCATACTGAAACTTCCCCAGTGAAATCCTCAAGTCCAAGTTCTCCATAGTCTACATAGTCTACGGATGGTTGGCCATCAAGGGCTGCTAAACTGTTGTTGCAGATACTCTCAGGTTGGAAGTAGATAGGGGTCAGAGCCTAAGCCAACATAAGTATGGTCCCCCTTCCACACACCATAGCATGTATGTGACAGGATCTAGGGGCAAAGACTCCTAGGGAAATGACTTTTGCAGTGAACTATTTGGAATAGATGTTTGGAAAGAAATGTTACTATTTTCTTGATGAATATGAGTTTGAGAACCTCCTCTGTATATGGTATGGAGAGGCACAACCTCTGACATTCATAAAATATCAGCAAGCTGATATCATTTATAATAGTTTATGGCCACTGGATCTCTACCCTGTGCCAAAACCTCCATGCAGGCATGTTGTTAACTCATGTAAGACTCACAGCACCTTTGCAGATTATACACTGATCTCTTCCTGTCTGACCCTCCTTGCCACCCCCCCCTTTTTTTTATTGCTTTTATGGAGAAAATTGAGGCAGAGGCTGGTTTGCTCTTGACAGACTTTAAATTCTGGAGTGAATATTTTGTGGTCTAAGAACTGTAAACACTGGAACGCAGTCTCTTTTTACATGACATTTTGTTTTCATTTTCAGAACTACCCAGTGATATACACAATAGCTATTAACAATTCTATTTTAAACATGTAAAGAAGTGATTTGCCAAATGTCACAAAACAAGTTGGTAGTTTATGAAATTAGGTCCATGCTTGAGACATTAGTACTCAAAGGAAAGTGTGGATGGACTGATCCAAATCCAAGCCCAGATTTACAGGTGAGAAAGTGAGTTCCAGCCAGAGGCGGCTGAGCTGTCCATGGTGATAGCTCTCTGACTGAATAGAGTGTCCATTCTACTGTGCAGGAATGCTTCCTGGAGCACCTAAGTGTCTGACTGTGGAAACAAGGTCTAAGCCAATAAAACTGACATCAGACTGGGAAATAACAGGAAACGCTTCACCCTGCGTAACAGCACCTGGCCTCTCACTTTGATAATGTTGTTTATTGACCTTTATCCTTTCAGACATTGACAGCCCCCAAAACCTGGTGACCAAACAGGTGACAGAGAACACGGCCACCGTGTCCTGGGATCCGGTGCAGGCCGCCATTGACAGGTACATGGTGCGCTACACCTCTGTGGATGGAGACACCAGGGAGGTGCCCGTGGGGAAGGAGCAGACCAGCACCGTCCTGACGGGCCTGAGGCCGGGTGTGGAGTACAAGGTCCACGTGTGGGCCGAGAAGGGGGACCGGGAGAGCAAGAAGGCCGACACCAAGGCCCCCACAGGTAATGGCTCCTGGCTCTTTGAGAATGTAAAATGTTAACTTGACGCTGGCCTGTCAAGTTTTGTTTTCCTGTGCTGACACTGGGCACATCAGTGGTTCATGTAAAGTTGGGATAGTGTCCAGTATTGTCAACTGTACACACATCCCTCACTTCCCTTTAACTAGTTTCCTTACCAGTTAAATTCACTTGGGGGCCTGTGGGGACACATCCTGCCATGATTGGCTGCTCATGTCTGACCACATCTGCTCCAAGTGTGTGAGTCTTTTGTGGACAGTATGAGGGTCTCCAGTTGAATTTGTAAGTGGGAACAGGAGATGAAAATCGAATGCTGTCAGTGTTAATCATAATAATTTGAAAATTTCCCTTTAAAAAAGTAGATTTTACATTTGGCAGAGCAAGTAGCCATACGTGGTTTGCTTTACCATAAACGAATCACATGTCAGTATTGATTTGGAGAATAAGGATAACTGCTATATTATATTCTTCTTGTAAAAGATAAAAATGTATGACCATATTTCTGTATAAGTGATTTAATCAGCAAGCCAGCACCACAAGTGAATCTCTGATATGCTGAGGAGTATTAAAGCCAGGTCTTTAATATGTTTTGAGCACTTTCCATGGGGAATGGGCCTCAGGCCTTTAATAACATATTTTCCTATTCCGCGATGAAGAGAACTCAGCCCTCCTTTTAGGAGCTTACGTTGGCATCTGACTGCTACAATCTTCTTCACTGAAATGGGAGGTCTTTATTGACGTGACCCTGGAAAGAAAATTATTAGCTATTTGTGAGCAGAGACCATGTTTTATTCTCTGGGACCCTATACATCTCCCAGTGCCATGCTTTGTACTTGATGGGAGACTGAGATAGGCTTACTAAACGAATAAACAGATTTGTTTTGCTAAAGTCTTGGTAGAGGCAGTAGTATAGATTTTCAAATAGTGCATGTTTTCTGGTTTACTGTGCTTTCTTTTGGAGGGTCCAAAGTCTGTCTGGGGAGCAAAGGCATGTCCATGAAGCAGTGGACATATGAGGTGGAAAGGCCACAAAGCATCAACAGTTTCCCCCCCCCACAGGAAAAATGGTGCAAGTTTCTGCTCTCTGTGGGCTATTGTGCATATTGATTGACTTTTTTCCTTTCAGACATTGATAGTCCTCAAAACCTGGTGACCAATAAGGTGACAGAGAACACTGCCACCGTGTCCTGGGACCCAGTGCAGGCCGCCATTGACAGGTACATGGTGCGCTACACCTCTGCGGATGGAGACACCAGGGAGGTGCCCGTGGGGAAGGAGCAGACCAGCACCGTCCTGACGGGCCTGAGGCCGGGTGTGGAGTACAAGGTCCACGTGTGGGCCGAGAAGGGGGACCGGGAGAGCAAGAAGGCCGACACCAAGGCCCCCACAGGTACTGTGAGAGACCAGAACACGGAGCCCCTTCCCACTGTCAGGATTCTCTCCTCCACAACAGGAAAGGTTGCTGCTTCTCCTGAAGACAATTTTACCTTGTGACGTAATAACTTAAAGTGACAATTCAGATTAAGAGAAGGGAGAGTAAAGAAGGCTATGATGTGACAGTGAAACTGGGTGACCCTTCACGGTGCTTGGGTAAAAGGTGGCCTCACTTACCATGCTGGCCGTGCAGCTCTCCAGTCCAGATACTAGAACCTGATTGGTTCTCAGCTCCAGTTTTGAGAAGAGAGATGCAAGGAGACACTTCTGTTTCTATTTCCAGAACAAGGATCCTGATGGAATATCTTTCTTGCCTCACTGTCTGTCCAGGTGGTCTTCAGAGGGGCCTGGACTTCTTGTGTTTTACACACATGATGAGACTTTAAGCTTTCCATCATGGCCACCAGGCCGCAAGGGTCCCGAGAAACACTGTGTCCTCCTAGGGGTACAGGGCCTGTTGAGAGTTTGGGCAAGGCCTGGCAGCCCCTCTGTGGCCAAGTACACTGTGTATGGCCATTGGAGCTTGAAGTATCTTGAATTTATTTATTATTTCTGTTAGTGGCAGTTAGGAATATTTAATTGGAATGGTAAATGTGTGCTTATAGAAATGATACAAAGCCTGTAGAAAGAACTCTGTCCCAGTATCCAGGGGTGCTCTCAAGAGGCATCTAGTATGCTCTTCCTAGCTTCCTTCCCCACTCTTTCCTTCTCTCTTTCATTTCCCTTCTCTCTTCCCTGGTTCTTCTTCCCCTTCCTTTTGCTCTTATTCTTTTTTTCTTTGCTTCATTTTCTCCATTTTCAAAATAACTATATTATCATCTCTCTACTTCATAGACATGTGAAAGTTACTAAGACATCTCTAGTCCATAATCAAAGATTGAGTGGACAGTCCAGTAAGTGACAGAAGCCACCTTATGATATTTAAATCATTACGATTTTGCAAGCAGGAAATTAAATTTTTCCATGTGAATGATAGAATTAAATCCATACCAGATGTTACACTTTATGAAGTCAACCAAGCTGATATTACAGAAACTCAACGTTTGTCAAAACATCCTAATTCAAAACAACAGCTCCCTGATTTCTGTTAAAATAGTGCAATTCAATTCTCAGCTGATATGCTACTTCATAGAAGATAGCCTGGAGGCATCTTTTTGGGGAACTTGTAAATTAAAATCACCTATGATTTTTTTTCAAAATGGAAATTTCCACTCATAATTTTTTTTTTT